CCCCATATATATTTACCCCTTCTGGATAACCAGTTGCCTGGCAGGCTGTGTTTTCACTACAGAATGGTCTTGGTTTTATCTCTCTACCTTCTGAATTCACTTGCTTTGTTAAATAGTCAGTATTAAGATTCTATAATAATGAAGCAAAAACAAAGTATCAACCCCACAGTTTTATTTGTAAAGAACAAAGCATGAAAAGTCATATTTAAATGTACTCCAAAACCTGAAAAACCCACGTCAGTTTCTCTGATATGTATGCTAAAGTGCTTGATATCACAATACTCTTCAAATTTTATATTATGTTCAGATGAGAAAAAAAAATCCAGTTCTGATGCATTTTAACAATACAAAGAAAAACAATATAATTTAAATGCAGAAATGCTCATTTGTTAAAAACACACACAGGGTACATTTATACATGGTTCAAGTGTAACATGGAGGATTTTTTCTATATGTTGAACACCTTCAGTTGATTGACAACAGGAACTCCTTACCAATGCTTCTCTGTCAAGATTTGGTGTTTGGAATAAAGACTAGCCACACACAATACATTCAGGTAATTGAATCAAGCATCATTCCCTCCCATATAACCCAAGGATACCCTGGATTCCTTCAAATGAGAGTTTAGTTTGCAAAGGAGGAGACATCCTTTGATAATATTTTCCACTCTGGTATTAATTGCTCAATGTGATACCTTTCTGGAGCCAATTTTTATTTTGTCCTTGAGAGAACGACCAGTTCTAAAGATTTGAAAGGGTGAGGTTCTCCTTAGTTTCTTTTGATCACACTCCATCAATGTCCTCTTCAAAAAGCTTGGAAATCAGTTTCATTCAAAAGATTTATAAGTGTATTTTAATAGGAATAAGGGGTCTAACAGCTTATTATTTGTTTCTGTCTCCTTTTAAGCTAAATGGTAATGTAATAAATACTTACATAAAAATAGGGACTTCAAAAGACATGGATGACTTGGAAACAGGATTCACTTTATAAAAGCAGAGAGGAGCTGAAGACTCCATTTGCAATCAATGAAGGTGTGTTAATACTGAAATATAAATAGCGAAGGTTCAGATTGTCCTTTCAGCATGGTGAAAAGATCGACTAATTTCTGTAAACCTCACAGAGAAAATACTCACAGTTCTCAACATAAAAATCTTCTGAAAAATCACAATTCTTAGCAGAAAGAGATTTCATTATTAAGAGCTACACTCTCAGTGCTGTCAAATAAATATTTCCCTGGGGATCTGAGGTCCTTGTCTGTTGCCTCATGTTTCACAATATCTAGAGGTGTCAACATATACTACACACAAACTGTTACGTATAGTCTCTACCCCTTTCACTTACATCTACATACAACAGTGATTTATTGCCAAAAAAGGAAACAGCAATTCAGTATTACTCCTCTATCATTCATACAGTGTGACAGAAGTCCATTAAAATGATTTCTTTAAAAGCCATGTTAAAGTAAATACCGCAGGGTTACAAAAGGTACAAAAGTCTCTGAAACATTTAAAATAAATTTTTGAGGGAAACTGCAAACTTTTGCAAGTTCTAGGTTACTTCTATCAAATTCTTGCCCCCAGTGGAAAGAGGATGGGAAGGGCCGGGAGGCCTTATTGTTTTTCTTGGTGGCCTGTTTCCAACGACCGAGAACCCACTTTATACCTCTGGATACTGTGCCTCAGTCATTTTAAGGTGCTAATGACCCCGACAGGGCACAGCTGTAGGGTCTCACATATAATACCAACATTGGTGTAATGCTACTGGATCACAAAGGTTGGGATTAGGAGTTTCGGGACACTTAAAAAAACACTTGAAAACAATGTTTCAAGAGACAATATTTTTGGAAATTTAATTTTACAACAATTTCTTTTTAAGCCACTGTTATGCAAAAATACTAATTATGGTTCCAGACATGAATTTTAATTTGAGGAAGAAAAAAAATCAATTACAAAATAATTTTTATTTATTTTAACTTTGAGGTGTGATTATAAAGCAATATGCCAATTTAAAAAATAAATGTAACAGAAAAGGTACCTCTCTAAATAGATATGGTCCTTGCAAAAGTCAGCTTTGGAGGCTATGTACATTTATTCTGAGGATTCTGCTATTGTCCTGCTCAAAACAATTTGGTACTGGATCAGAGACTGTTACAAGCCACATAAGAACTAAATCTTGTTTCTTTAGAATTATGTTTCTTATGGGACTCAAACTCTGCTCGAGCCCCCTTTTTATTCATCAACCTGGATCCTATGGGCTGTCGGCCTTTCGAGCTGCTCATAGAGGCCCCCACGTGTTTGGAGTGCTGGCTGTACCACTAGACTAAGATAAATGGGCTCCCGAGGTGACTGCTTTAAAGGGCCTAGTATTGTAGAGGGTGTGTATCTCTCTTTTGAAATTGGTCATTTCACGGTGGCAGTCACACTGCATGAAGTGGGATAAAACTTAAGGTACAACTCCTTTTGGGCATTGCCCTTTGAAATAATGGTTTTAGTCACAGACCCCAGACCCAATTTTCTCCATTTTTACAACTTGTGAACAATTTGTTAAAATGAATACTAATCCTCATAAATGATTCTTAGACATGAATATTAATCCTTATTTCCTATCTGTATAGATGAATGCATAAAGATCCAAGGGTGGAAAGACTTAAGATGAGTGCCCTGGAGGTCAGTGTCATGCAGCCTGGTGGAATAAAAAAACGTGAATTCTAGACCCTGGGATGTCGCTGACCAGCTGTGGGAGTATGTAATCTCTTTAATCCTTGAGTGTTCCATCTATGAGATGAGAAGCTGGACAAGATGACTCAATCTAAGCTAAGCCGTCTCCCTGGCTGCCCAGAGTGCGTCAGAGGCAGGGCCTCATGGAGAAGGTACTGAGAACCAGCCCCTGGACTGCGTCAGTCTGTGGTTTCTGATCACTGAAACACAGTAAGAGCGTGGTGTCAAGCAGGTGGAGGACATCTCCCACTGAAGAATGTCCATGACCCTGAAAAGCCACACCACAGACACACTTTAGCCTCAGCAAACAAATCTCTAGTCCCCAGGTCACCCAGAACCACCTTATTAACCCCTTCCCATGGGTTTCTAAATTCTTCAACCCCCCTTCCCTCCTTAAGAACTAAGTCACATATCAAAGGGGGTGTGCCTGGGCTGCCTGGCTGAAGACAGTGTCTGATAAAGGGAGTGGGGCGCTTGTTTCATCTGAAGGCGTTAGTCTTCCTCCAGGAGATAAGGGGATGACACTGTTGGCTGCAGCCCAGGACCCTCAAATCGCACAAGGGTCCTGAGAGGCCATGGCTCTGCGTCTCAGCCACAACTGGGAATAAAACTGGAGCTCTGCCGAGCAGTTTCACTAACAATGTGCAAATGCCTAATTAGAGCTACAGGGCCTACTCTATGGTGAAGACTTCAGGTGACTAGCTAACACCACGTTTATTTAACTTCCTTATAAAATACTGAACTGGAGAGTTACAACATTTGGTCTTTCAAAACTGCTGCCTCTTGTTTTGCTTGCATTTTGCGTCTGTGCTGCGCTGGCTTTTACCGTCTCTGGGCCAGTTGTTTCACGTTATCACTCCATTCTTACAAAGGAACAGAAAGCTTACTCTGAAACACCCAGAAAGGGTTCATTCTTTCTCCCTCTTTCTGTTATTTGCATTATCTTGGTCAACAAATACTTTCACAAAAACATTCCAGGCTACACCGAGCTCTCCTCCTTCTCAGACATTCCTTCCATTTCCTGAGAGGGGGCTGGGCACGGGGAGGGGAGGGGGCGATGGGAACCAAACAAAGCCGGCTTTCGGTGATCCCTCAGAGGTAAGAGACCACTGCAGGGTTCAGATGGCCAAATAAAAAGCACAGGATCAAACTGCTGTTTGCAGTTGTTATGACTGTGACATCTGCCCAGAGTACCTCAAATAACAAGAATAAAAATGCCAAGAATGAAGTTAGTCTAGGCTAATCTTTCCAAAGAGTAAAGAGGCTATAATCCCACCATTTAACACACTTCTTGGGGCTTTGTGTGCTCTCTTCCCAGTTAAGCCAAGCTCCTGGGGTTCGGTGTTTAAAGTATTTGAATTATATCTTCATCTTGTGCAGAGAGAAAAAACTTCCCGAAAGAATGGAAAAGTGACTCAATTCATATGTATGAAACCATTTGCAACTTAAAAGAGACAAGTACAGGCTGCCCTGTACAGTAGGCAGAGCTGTTCGCATTCACAACACAGAGGGTCAGACACCAGGAAGGATGGGCCATGACACAACAATGCCTCTGGGCTCCTGTGTGATACCTGGAGGGGAAAAAGCTCAACTGGGTTGTACGGTATTTACATGTGTACTGGCTTCTTCCTGACTAGCACCACTCCTCCCCCAATTCCCAGTGCTTTTAAGCTACTTATTTTAAATCACAGGAATATTCAATCTAAGAAAAGTATCTTATTAGAGTAATATAATTTTTTAAAGAAGATAGCGTATTTACACACATCTAACACATGAAAATACTCTATTTTATACTAAATTCCTGGTTCAAATGAACTACAATACAGCGTTTTGCCTTGTCTGCAGCATGAGGATTGTTCAAATCAGGGCATAAGGTGCATTGCCCCTGCAGTGACTCACTACCTCGTCAGACAAGTCCACATCGGTCCCGTGGACAAGGAAGGTTCGGGAGCAAGGGGTCTGGACTGAGAATTTCTAGCTGATTGGGTTACACATCCACTCCTTTGATGAGAGAGCCTTCTAAGATGATGGTGAAGTCCTGGATGGTCTGCAGAATGCGGATGAGGGAGTTGACGGTCATGCGGTCCCGCAGGAGGGCGCTCTCTTCATACATTCGGGTAATGGCAGGACACTCGGCTAACAGTGGAATCCACTGTGGGAGCAGGCGATCCCTACAGGCCCAAACAGAAACAAGCACTGAGCTTGGCTCATCTCGCTGTAGAACAAGGCACACATTGGAGCTTTCGACGGGGAAGTGTGTGGCTGGATGGTACAAAATCTAGCCAAGCTCCGAGGTCAGCAGAGAGGAAACCAAAGTCAGGAAGCTGGATATTTACTGGTTAAAAAGCTACAGTAACGAAACACTGTAAGCGGACGGGAAAACCCATCAGATTCTTAAAGCAGGCCAGGACAAGTTGGCCATGAGGATTTCCACACATTAAGGAAATTCTCTCTTCTGATTTTACCACCTTTTAAAAAAGAGGCAGAATGTAATTTTGTGTTTCTCTTTTACAGATGTGTTACTTAGACACCTGTGGAAAGGCATGCCAAAGTATACTGACCTTCTGGGAAGAAAGACTACATTAAATAGTAGGGACTGTTTTTTTGTTTTTTAATTTATACACATAAGAAGGTAAGGAACAAAATCAAAGCAGAACATTAAGTAGATTTTATAAACAAAATGAGAGGTTGCACTAGCCTAATAAATCGGAACGGTAAAGAGATTAAAGGAGATAAGGATCGTGTTTAAAAGGAACTTTAAAAGCTCAGCTGAAATTGGGCCCCTTTATTAAGAAGAAATTCAGAACTTGGTTCTATAAACCAGTTATTTCAGGAGTACGAAATCTCAGGCTTCTGTGTTTCCTAATTAAACTCAACATTAATCATCTGTCACTAAGTACCCTAAGACATCTTAACTGAGCATCTCCCAATATGCCTTTCATGACAAGGACAGCTGCAGGAAACCATCTTGCACCTCTCCTTGGGCCTTTAAGGGTTTAGAAGAAAACAAACATTGCACACAAAAAACTTCTGAAGGCCTGTGTGTTTCATTTCTTACAATTCTGAGAGCTGTTTTAAAATTAACAAACTATACAGCTCCTATGTGTCATTTTCAAGAAATAAAGGGGTAGGAAATTGTCTTAAGGAGAAGACTATATAGTAAGAATCCGCAATGTTATTAAATTTAATATGGTGGTGTAGATACACTATACAAGCTCTCCATAGTAGATATAAATGGGTGTATGCATCAGTGTGTCTAATTATCTACTAATCTACCTGTTACCTATTTCCCTATCTTTGGAACCAGTAGAGTGTAATGGTTGAGAGCCTGGGCTCTAGAGTGAGACTGGGTGTGAAACTTGACTTTGCCTCTTTCTAGCTGTGTGACCTTGGGAAAATTTCTTAACTCATCTGTGCTTCATCTGTTTTCTAGTTTCTAATCTATTCAATGGGGATACTGGTTGCTACTTCAAGTACCCCAAGGTGGTGGTGAACAATAGAAAGATTTGATGAGATAACATATGTAAAGTATACTTAGCATAGTGCTTTATTCAACACATAGCAAGTACCCAATAAACAGTAGTCTCATAATGAAACTTAGAATGAAGGAAACATACAGGAGAGCTTTGGAAGGGGCACGATCTGGTTTAACCCTTTGTAGACTTTTGTTCAACATTTAACAAAGACAGGAAAAGTCAAGAACTGGAAAGTCAAGTTCATACCGTGTTCCAAGGCAGACTAAAATCTGGAATTTGCCATCCTTCCCAATGTTCCTGGGTGCAGTATTAATAGCATTGACATAGTGGCAGAAGGTTTTGCAGGATGATTTCTGAATAAGAACATCATCTTCATTGTCAGTGGTTTCAAAATAAGTAACCGCTCTCTCTGGGGAAGGAAGTCAGAATCACATTGTAATACACATCAGCACTTCATAACAGAAAGACTGATCCCTAGGTTTCTTCTGGAAACACTAAGGATGCTCTGCAGTACAGCCAGTCAGAAACCAAAATCATTGCTTCACCAGTGGTTTCACAATTCCAGGGGCCCACGTTTCATGGTGGAATAATATGCTCCCGGGAGTTCACTGCCTAATCTAGACTACATTCTAGAAGGCTGGAAAGTTTACTCTTACAGTAGCTTTACAAAATGGAAATTGGCAAAAAGAAGAAAAATAAAAATAGACTCCTCTGTTAAGACTGCAACCTTCTAGGAGTAAGCAGCAAAGACATGGTAGCCACCAGGATGGTAGCCCCTGTCCCAGCTACAGAATGGCAGGCTAATACTCTGCAACACAATTCTGAAATGTAACTGCATCAGTAAATCTGAGAAGGAGGTATATGTACACATATCAGAAGCAGGAGCAATATTCTAGGCATTCTAGAAGGAAAAAATATCACTCCTGGGGGCCTCATCTGTCAACCTTCCTTTCTTTGTCCAAAAATTCTCAATTAGATGAAATCAACTACTTCATCTAGGCCTTATTTACAAAACACAAATGATTGATCACCCCTTTAAATAAACTGGGAATTCTAGAAGGACTGCATACCAAAATGAAGCTGACAAAGTTCAGCGAGCCAGGGCAGCACATGCCTAGGGAGCTTTCTGATGATGAGAATGTCCTCTATCTGTAAGGTCCAAGTGGTAGCTACAGCCGTGCTGGGCCATTAAGGAAGTGAATTTTAAATTTAAATGAAGCCCATTTAAATTTAAATGGCCACCTGTGGCTAGTGGCTACCATAATGGACAGCACAGAGCTAGAGTCATCCTTTTAAAACAGGTCACTCCTTATGTCCAAACCTTCCAAATAACTTCTGATTTCATTCCGAATAAAGACCAAAGTCCTTCCAATGGCGTGGAAGGCCCTTCACAACCAGTCTTTTGCAGTAAATACCCCTCTCCCTCTATATCCTTTCTCTCCCCCTCACTCTGCTCAGCCCCACTGATCTCCCATGGAAAGGCCCTGGCCCTTCTCTCAGCCTGAGCACCCTCCTCCCAGACATTCACAGGGCTCACTTCCTCACTTCCTCAAAGTCTTTGTTCAAATGTCACCTTGTCAACAAAGCCTATAACCACCCCATTTCCTCTTACCTTGTTCTACTTCTTCCAGATCAATGATTATCTTCTAACATACTAGATGAATTGCATACCTGTTATGTTTTTGTGTATTACTTGTTTCCCTGCCCCCACCAGAAGTTTATCAACCACAGAAATTTTGTGTTTTGTTAGTTATATTTTGATGTATATTTTAAGCATCTAGAATAGTGCTTGGGATATGGTGGGTACTATAAATATTTGTTGACTGAGTGAAAAGCAAGGACAGTACTTATTTGATATATATATATATTTAAAAACATACTCCCCTTATCACTAACCCTTCTTTTCCCAATTCCCGGATCTTTGAGTTTTCTAAGATGCATTTCAATGACCTTATAACATCCACCTGCTCTAATTTACCTATGAAGTCCCAGATGAAGATGTTCTTGTGAAAGATGCGGGCAGATTTGAATCCATGGTGGAAAACCTGTTCAAGGGCTGCAACCAGGCCGTTCTCTCCGCACAGCAACACCGTGAGGCTTCCTCTCTGTGGAACACAACACACAGGGCCAAAGAATGACCTGCTGTGTCTATGTTTAAGAAACACACCAGAGAGACAAGTGTTGCGGGTAGCTATGAAGCATGTTTTTGCAGCTATTAGAAAGCTAAGTGAAAATTACAGCACCCTGTATTGCCTTATGTATCATGTATAAAAGCGGCTTTTATTATTATTTTTTAATCCTTACTTGAGGATATTTTTCCCCCACTGCTTTTCAGAGAGAGTGGAAAGGGTAGAGAAACATCGATGTGAGACACATCGATTGGCTGCCTCCCGCACGTACCCCAACTGGGGCCGGGGATGAAGCCTGCAACTGAGGTACATGCCCTTGATTGGAACTGAACCTGGGAGGGACCCTTCAGTCAGCGGGCCGACGCTCTAACCACTGAGGCAAACTGGCTAGGGCTAAAAGCGGCTTTTAAATCCTATTATATTACATTTCATAGCTCATCATACCTCTTTTTCAGGTTTGTGAAAATGCTTCACAATGTTGTTCACAGCTTCTCCAATTCCTTCCTGGATCTGCCCAGCATTGGGTTCTGAAATATAATACAGAGGGGCTGAATTCTCATGTGAGGGAAATACACAAAAGTCCTGTGAGACATCAACTGTGTCCACCTAGGCAGGAAACACTTCACCAGCGCAGGCCGGCTTTGCTGGGGGCTCCGTGAAACTTGCCTTGGGCCAGTCTGGCCAAGTAAGAGGCACCTTGGCACAATGGAAAAGAATCCGAGGGAGAAACAAGGTGGTGGCGTAGGTAGCAGCTGCACCCGCCGCCTCCCGCAACCACATCAAAATTACAACTAAAATACAGAACCACCATCACGCAGAGCCTCCTGAAATCCAGCTGAACAGAAACCCTACAAGGAGGGAACTGAAGGAACAATGAGACTGGTAGGAGGGGCAGGGATGTGCACCTGGTGCCACGGTTTAAACCCAAGAGGGAATCTCGACGGTGGATGTTTCCAGGAGGAGTGAGGGGTCCCAGTCTCACATCAGGCCCTCAGCCCAGGGATCCAGGGCCAGGAAGAGAAGTTCCCACAACTTCGGGCTGTGAAACCAGCGGGGACTGTCGCTGAGGGTCGCGGAGGCTGCGGGAGCCCCCGCAGCTCCTCTTAAGGGCCGGCGCACAGACTCACTCAGACGCTCCCTCTGAGCCCAGCGCCGGGCAGCAGCTTGAAAGGACCTGGGACGTTTGGGAACGAACTAACCTGCCTGAGATCCAGGCAAGAGGTGGAGGGGCGGCTTCCTCCTAGGCAGAAGAGCTGGCAGAGGCCACTGCTCCTTTGGCCAGTCTAACCCCGCACAGAACTGGCAGGCAGGCGCCATGTTTGAATCCCCAGCACCTGACTCACACCTTTGGCCCCCCACCCCGTGATTCCCGGAGGCCCCGCCCCTCCCCACCTGCAGCTCATCCAGGCCATTTCCAGGGGCTTTTCTGTGCAAGTGGCCTCTCGAGCCTCATGCTTAGGACTTTCCTAAAATCTCTCAAACAAGCAGCAGCTGCCCCATATGGCTTGATAAGTGGCCCCAGGCCTGGCACTAGCGGCAGTCTGCACTGGCTCATAGCTTGGCCTCTCCTGGACACCTCCAAGCCCAGCACAAGCAGCAGCCAACTACGGTTTGCTGTGTAGCTCATGCTGGGTGGCCCTGGGCAAGGCACTGGCACAGGCTGACTTTGCACCTCCCGGGAGGCCCCAGAGACAGTGCACCTGGTGGTCAGACTCGACCACGCTGGATTACAACCCTACCACATCCATGAGTGACACACTCAAGGGGCGCACTTGGTGAACACCAAAGCTCCACTGAAGTAAATCCTGCTCCATAGGGGTGTCTCCAGCACAGCAGCTCTTTGGCTGTAGTTGCAGCTGGTCCTCACAGCTGATTGGCCTGGGGGTCAATTCCTCCCAGTGACGCCAACAGCAACCAAGGCTCAACTACAACAGGACAGTGCACACAGCCCACACAGGGGAGCACCTAGAAGGCCCAGCTCAGGTGACTGGGGAGGCTGAGCCACTGGACCCTACAGGATACCTACTACACAAAGCCACTCTACAAATTCCAGGAGACATAGCAGCTCTGCCTAATACACAGAAACAATCACTTGGAAGCAGCCAAAATGTGGGNACGCTCCCTCTGAGCCCAGCGCCGGGCAGCAGCTTGAAAGGACCTGGGACGTTTGGGAACGAACTAACCTGCCTGAGATCCAGGCAAGAGGTGGAGGGGCGGCTTCCTCCTAGGCAGAAGAGCTGGCAGAGGCCACTGCTCCTTTGGCCAGTCTAACCCCGCACAGAACTNCAGAGTTCAGAATTTTGGTTATAAGGATGCTCAACCATATTAGTAAGACTATTATGAAAACAAGTGAGACCATAGATGAACTAATAAAATACCTATCAGAAATGAAGGCTACACGAACTGAAACGAAGAATAATTTTCAGGGAATCAACAGGAGAGTAGAGGATGCTGAGAATCAAATCAGCAATCTGGAACATGAGGAAACAAAAAGCACCCAACCAGAAGGGCAAAAAGAAAAAAGAATCCAGAAATATGAAGATAGTGTAAGGAGTCTCTGGGACAACTTCAAGTGGCCCAACATTCATATTATTGGCTGACAGAAGAAGAGAGCAAGAAATTGAAAACCTACTTGAAAAAATAATGACAGAAAACTTCCTCTACCTGGGGAAAGAAATAGATTTACAAGTCCCGGAAGCACAGAGAGTCCCAAACAACAGGAACCCAAAGAGGCCCACAGCAAGACACATCATAATTAAAATGCCAAAGGTTAAAGACAAAGAGAGAATCTTAAAAGCAGCAAGAGAAAAGCAATTAGTCACCTACAAGGGAGCACCCATACGACTGTCAGCTGATTTCTCAACAGAAACGTTGCAGGCTAGAAGAGAGTGGCAAGAAATATTC